TGGTGGCTGCAGCTGGATGCTGGGAAAAGGGCAGTGATTCCCTGTGCTCCAACCTCTGGGGGCTCCAGGTGGGCATGGGGCACAGCTTGGAATTCCAGCAATTCCGATGTTGTCAGCTGGAACCACATTAACTCACCTCCCCGGGCCTCTGAAACAGCCACCTAATAATGGCTTTCCAGGGACGGGAGGAACAGGGGGAGGTGAACCCTCTGCTTCATTATTTCCATTTCAATCTGCGGCGCAGGCACAGAGGGCGCCCGCCCGGCAACCACAGCCCTGAATTATTCATCATTAACGCCACCTCTTGAGATGCAGCCGCCCCGGGAGCTCGGGTGTGACACACAACAAGGAGCCCGGTGGTCCCCTGGGTGCTGAGACATCACTTCAGGCAGAAGCCAGACAAAGACGGGGAGCCCGTTTGGGTGCAAAGTGCCTGCACCGACCGGGCAGCTTTGCTGTTCTCCGCTTTCCGCGGGGTCAGAAGGCGAAGAAGGGGATTTTGGAGCGGCCCCGCAGCAGTTCTGGCTCTGTGCAGCAGAGGGAGGCAGCCAGCGCAGCATCGCCCACAGCCACCGGCTGGCAGGCGCTAAGGACTCAATTATGTTCTCCACCAAAATACAATGAACTCTGTCAGAAGTGATCACCCAGAGGGCCACGCAGCCGGGAGCTCAGTGGAAGTGGCCCTCTGTGAGAGGTGGAGGGGATTTTTCTCTGGCTTCGGGGAGAACTCGCTGGGCTCATGAAAGGAAGGAGCAAAGTGGGACACGGGGGGTTTGATTCTCTCACCGGGACATGACTCCACCTGTTGCTGTTTTACCACCAAAACACGCTAAAAATACATAGATTTCCTCTGATCTTGAAGGTCTCTTAAGGATTTGCTTATAAATCTGCTTTAGCACATGAAAATACATCAGCATGTTCAGCTGTTGGCAGGCAGGCAAAGGAGGGACCATTTTGCTCACGGTGTATTCGCAGTATTTAAAGCTATTTACCTTCACCCAGGAACTCAGCATTGCATCAAACTCACCTTTGGGTCCTTTTCTCCCATAGTTCAGCTGCTTGTCACCCCAAAAAAATTGGAGGAATTGAATGCACTCCTGCCTTCCTCCTGCCCCCAGTCCCCTTCCTGCCTCAAGCTCAAGGAGCTGAAGGAGCCAATTCCTTGCTCGTGCCATAAAGAAGATTTGTGAGGAAGGGAGGCAGGAGAAGACAGACCAGGTAAGAATAATTATGAAGCTATTAAAGGCACAGATCTTATGATAAAAACTTAAAGCTAAATTGCTTTGAAATACAGATTTTTACTTTCCCCAACACTTAAGGTAAAATAATATTAAATAACTGCTGTCTCAGGTTAGAACTAAAGGTTAAAGGATGGTAATTACTGATTATTTAAAGGGTAGTTGCAATGAACTAAGATAAAGAGGAGTCACATTGCTAAGCCAGAGACTATATTTTAAGCTGGGAATGTGACTCAAGCCAAGCATTACCAGGAGACTGCACTTGGAGTAGAGGCCAAGCTGTGACTTGCAATAAAGTTCTTCCAGTCCCAGAAATGTAGAGCCCCAGTGCTCCCCAGGGCAGAACCCAGGTGGGTTTTAGGAGGAAGTTTATATTTCACATCTATTTTAACAAATCCAGCAGTTTGCAGAGTGAGACACAAACCCAGTTCTTCCAGGGTTGTGTGAGGGAAACCTGCACTGCAAGGGCCGTGACCTTGAGATAAAAACTGTTTGAACCCAATCAAATGACTGTGTATTACATTATATCACCAAAGCAGAACATCACATCAGGCTTTTAGAACATGATATTCAGCAGGGGAATAAACCCTATAAATCCTCAACCACGTGGAGTAGTTCTTTAACCTCTGATTTCAGTGATGACAGGATATAAAGCACTTTCATTTAGTATTTAAAAGCTACAAAACACATGCAAAGGAATAAAACAAAGCAAGAAGAAGCACTAAGATTAATAAGAAAAATTCCTCCGAGGAGGAGGTTTCTATCAGGCAATTCAGTGATTCAAAAATATTCACTTCAGCTTTGCTGAGTAAAAGTAATTATTTTCCCTTAAGTCAGCTGGTTCCTGGTGCCTTTTCATCCATTGTCATCTCTTGTTATTTGGGATATTCACAGCACTCGCCCTGATTGTGTTGTGCTGTTTAAGAGAATGAAATTTCAATTTAGAAGATGCTTAGTCCTGGAAAACCTCCCGTGCACCCACTTGCTGAGGGGCAGATGCCTCCTTTGATGTGCTGCTGCCTCCCACTGCACCTTCACAGGCTGGAAACTTCCAGGAGCTGCAAACTAAACCCAGCCAGGAACCTGGGGAACGAGGCTTGGATGGAGTCCTGCCTCAGCAAGCTGCTCCCAGGGAACCTGGGCCATCAGGAAAGCTGGGGCTGCAAAGATCCAACCTGTCCCAGGGGGAATCTCATGGAAATAAAAACCCTCCTCTTCTTTTTCCCTCAGCTGCTCTGGGTGTTGTCACATCTCTGTCACCAGCAGGGCAACACAGGCTCCTGTCCAGGGGGAGGCACAGCAGGCTCTTATCCATGGGAAAGGGGATTGGGGATGGGAATGGGGACCCAGGGAGGAACAGATGGTTTGACAGCCAGCCCTGGGCTGCAGACAGGGCAGGGCTCTGTCCCTGCCTGGATTGCCCTGGCAGCAGCAGCATGAGGAGCTCCAGGATAAGGATAAGCTCCAGGATAAGTCCAGGGGGTTCCTGTTGGTCTGGGATGTTCCAAGGTGGAACAGAGCTGGAGAGCTCTGGCTGTGCTGGGGCAAGGAGGGGGCTCAGGGGGCTCCTCCTGTGCCCCAGAGCTCAGAGCAGCCCAGTCCTGGGGGGAAGAATTGAAGAAGTGCCTTCAGGTTGCCCCCATTTCCTGCACAGAACACCCCTCCCCTCACACTTGTGTTCTCAGAGCCAGAGATGGATAATTTCTGGATTGCAAAGCTGATGAACTGGGAGTCAGGACACTCCAAACCAGCCCACTGCCCTGGAAATGCTGCTTCCAGCAGCAATTCCTGCTGGGACAGCACAGCCAGGCCAGGACCAAATCCCCTCTAACCCAGGAGATATTGGATCCCACCAGGAGACAGCCACAGCCTTGCAGGGAACCCCAATAATCTCGCATTCCACATCACAGGACCTGAGGTTCCCATCACTGATGACCAAAAAGAGAGGAGTAAATCCTCCCATTTCAGTTTTAGCCCACTTGGGACCCCTCAGCAGAGCCTGGAGCTGCTGAACACCTCCACTTCACTTGCCTTAGAACTTCCAAGTGCAGTAACTCAGCCAACAGATGATTAATGTGTCAGCAAAATAGTTCTCAACCTTCTCCCTCATCCCAGATGAAAGACATTTATTACCCTGTCCCTCTCCAGGCTGATGTTCCAGAGATGCCAGCCCGGGGGGGATCTCACCTCAGCTGTCCCATCTTGTCATTTTAATTAAAGCCACATCCTCCGTGCTGCCTGAGCCCTGATAAGATCCCAGTTATCAGAGAGGAGCAAATTTGTGATGCTATCTGGGCCAGCCCATGATTATCTGCCAGAACAAAGGGAATGTTATTAAACAAACCTGTGCTGGATCACTGTGGGAGGAGGGGATGGGAATCAGGCTCCAGCAGGATCCCTCAGCTCCCTGGGATCACTCCTGCTCTGGGCTGGGAGCTGGAGCAGAGAGAGGAGCTGGAGGAATTCCTGTGTAAAGTTTTGCTCCTCTCCTGCTGTTTATTAGGAGGAGAAACACCAGCTTTAATATCAATTAACTCCTGGGAGATGACAGGTTCCTGAGCACATTCTCAAACGTTTCATTAAAAAACCAAAGTGCCTGCATTTGCTTTCCTAAACACAGCCATTGCTTTTTGGGGCACAGGGAAGAAAGGGCTCCTCCTCTCCTGCCTTTTGAGGTTTAATGATCCCCCGGGGGAACAAAAGCAGCAGGAGGGAATTGCCACACTGGGGTTTCTTTGCTTTGACTCCCTCCTTCCACTTCTCCCAGTCCTGAGGTGGGTCCTGGGCTTTGTGCAGCCCCAGAGCGATTCCAGGCTGTGGCACCAAACCCAGCCTTTTATTTCTCAGCTAACTAAGCCCCTGCACAGCTGTACTTCTGTTCTGCCAGAGCTAATGGGCCTGTCCCCTTCCAAAAACACACTCAGCTCCTCTGACTTCACAGCCACGAGACAGACAAGTTCTGAATTTGTTAAAAAAAACCCAAACACCACCCCACAGTTTCTGGTCGGACGTCAGATTCATCAGTAGCTTCTCTAAAGTGCATTGTTTTATCTCAAAAAAACCCCCCAAAAAATCATGAAAGGAAAGTCACCAAAGGGAGCTGGCAGATAAAATGTTACTCACAATAAACTCAAGAACAGTAGCAGGTACATTATAAAAATTCATCAGAACTTAATGAACTGGTCTTTAAAAGAATAGTCTTATCTTCCTCATCCATATTTATTTTGATGGGATAACAATCCCAGATCCAATTTAAAAGGAGTGCCAGCTCTGTTTGATGTGTTTCCATCTCATCCCAGAGCCCAGGAGTGACTTCCCATGGATTTGTGTCCTACCAGCTCCATCTATTGATGGAGAGGAGGGTCATGGACCAGGGACTGGGTGGCCTTTGTGCCCCAAATCAAGGTCCTGAGTGACCTGAGCTCCTGTGGGTCTGTTCTGACCTGGCTGTGCTGTCACACCAGGCTGTGCCATCACCTGGGGGTGTGGAAAAGGGGGGTCCTTGGCCTCCCAGATCCCTGCCTGGAGCTCCTGCTCAGCCCCAGAGGCTTTCCTGGTATTTCCTGGAGTGTTGCTGCTCCCCTGCACTGGCCCTGCCAACCCCAGAGCTCGGGCAGCAGGAGGTGCTTTTGGAACCCATTTCATCAGGACTTTCCCAAGGAAGTTTTCAGGGGTTCCTGGAGCAGAGGCATCAGCCTTTCCCTTCCTGATTCCCTGATGGATTGGGGAAGGCTGCTTGGGAACTGAGCCAGGAATATTTGCAGTTGTTGGTGGTGTTTTGTTCTCCAGGAGCTCGGGGTTCTCCAGGAGCTCAGGGTTCTCCAGGGTCTTGGGGTTCTCCAGGAGCTTGGGATTCTCCAGGAGCTCAGGGTTATCCAGGAGCTCAAGATTTTCCAGGAGCTCAGAGTATTCCAGAAGCTCAAGGATTTCCAGGAGCTCAGGGTTTTCCAGGAGCTCAAGATTTTCCAGGAGCTCGGGATTTTCCAGGAGCTCAGGGTTTTCCAGGAGCTCAGGATTTTCCAGGAGCTCAAGGTTCTCCAGGAGCTCAGGGTTTTCCAGGGTCTCAGGGTTCTCCAGGAGCTCAGGATTTTCCAGGAGCTCAGGATTTTCCAGGAGCTCAGAGTTCTCCAGCAGCTCAGGGTTTTCCAGGAGCTCAGGATTTTCCAGGAGCTCAGGGTTTTCCAGGAGCTCAGGGTTCTCCAGGAGCTCAGGGTTTTCCAGGAGCTCAGGATTTTCCAGGAGCTCAGGGTTTTCCAGGAGCTCAGGGTTCTCCAGGAGCTCAGGGTTTTCCAGGAGCTCAGGGTTCTCCAGGAGCTCAGGATTTTCCAGGAGCTCAGAGTTCTCCAGCAGCTCAGGGTTTTCCAGGAGCTCAGGGTTCTCCAGGGCTCGTTGGCACTCCCGGCCAGCGCCGTGTGTTCCGTTTAAGGCTCTAAATGGAACATAAGCCCTGCACTGGAGGGGGTTCCTGTGCTGAGCTGGGGGGGCACAGGCACTGGGCAGGGTTAAACGCTGCCATGTGGTGCCACAGCACCGGTGTCAGGATGAATCAGGGGAGGCTCCACTGATTTCCCTGGAACTGAGCACTCCTTCCTTGCTGCAGCACGAGGAGAGCAGCAGGGAGCTCTCATCCAGGCTGGGGGAGTGCAAGGCAGGGGTGACTCCTGTGGCAGGGCTTTCCAAGGCTTTGGAAGGCTTTTCCTGGGGGAATGAACAGCAACTTCCTTTCTTTCTGTCACGAGTGAGAGGGGCTGGGTGAGGGCAGCTCAGTTATTCCAGTGTGAAATCTGAGGTGGAGTCAGGTCACAGCTCGAGCTCACCTCAGCCTTCCTGGGTGAACACCCCCTGTTTGCTGTGAGAACCAGCACAGCCAGTTTGTGTTCCCCAAGGAACCCCAGGGATCACCCACAGGAATGGCACAAATCACCTGCAAACTCCCCCCTGGCTGGTTCTGCCCGTGGAAGGCACAGGAGTTACCTTTGCTGTGTCATCCTCCTGACTTTCAAGGGAAGGAAGAACAGCAGCAGGTCACTGTTCCTGACTGAATCCCTCCAAATGCCAGCTGAACCCCGAGGCTTCCCCTGAAGCCCTCAGAAACACAGTGAGAGGCAGCTTTTAATTGCTCGGCAGCTCATTTTAATAAAGCACAACCAGCAGAGTGAGAATGGATGGAATTCTTCACCTACCAGCAAACCACGGATTTTGCTGATGATTTGCCAAAAAAAAAAACAAACCCCAAGGTTTGCCAAGGTCTAAAAATCACGATTCCCTCCTAAGCCAAAACTTCAGGATTCAGGAATCTGTTTGGGTTGAGTTGAAGGATGAGACAAAGTGAAACAGTTGAGTGTCCTCAAGGAGAAGGACAGGGAAAGAATGAGCCCAGAGACTCAGCTTCCAGGGATTTCAGGTTTTACCATCTGCACAGATATTAGATGTATAATGTCATATATATACTTCAAAATCCTTTTGCACCAGAACATTTTGTGCAAGAAAGATCTTAATTTTCCATTGAATGCAGATTGTGATGCTGCACAAACCAAAGGGCAAGACCAGTTCCCCCCGTCCACGTCCCAACACCCTCCCCTTCCATCCCCTGTCTCCAAAGAGGTTTGATTTCTACCTGTTCCATTGCACTGATCCGAAAACAAAAGGGTTAACAATAACCCCCCAAAATGGCCCATTATCTCACAGAAATAATTCAATTAAACGTTGCTAACGAGGCTGAGTGACAGGGTGAGCCCTGCCCAGGGTCAGGGCTCTGCCCTGCACTGCAGACCTGCATCCTGGGCCCCTCTTGCTGCAGCAAGGAGCTGTTTTTTTCCCTTTTCCACATGAATGCCCAAAACCCTTTGGGGAATGTTAAACCCTGTCAAAACAAAGGCATGTAGGTTTTTAAGAAACAGTCGTGTGAACAAGTAGGACAAAATTTATGACGGGTGAGCAGGAGAGGAGAAATTGCGTTTGTGGCACAAAATGGGATCAGGGAGCAGTCCTGGCTTTAGGAATATTTGGAATATGTGCCTGTACACACACATTTGCTGTGTGTGGCAGATGTGTGGGTGCACCTCCTGATCCTCACTGTGGGTCCTGAGATGCTGCTGCAGAAATCCAATCCCAAAAATCCTCCTGCCCCACCCAAACTCCTGAGCAGCTGCACCATCCCCCAGGTCTGGTAAAAGATCATCAGCTGAGAAAGGCATTGGGAAGGAATTCCTGGCTGGGAGGGTGGGGAGGCCCTGGCACAGGCTGCCCAGAGGAGCTGGGGCTGCCCCTGGATCCCTGGAAGTGTCCAAGGCCAGGCTGGACAGGGCTTGGAGCAGCCTGGGCTGGTGGGAGAGGGTGGAACTGTGTGGGCTTTAATGTCCCTTCCAACCCAAACCACTCCAGGACTCCCTGATTTTTTTCCCCAACTGCTGCTTTCCAGGGACTGTCTCACCCCCCTGTTCCACTCCTCCAACCAAAACAACTGCCTAAGGATGTAAATACAAGGAATAACCCAAAACACCAGGAGCAAAGCCCAGGCACTGCCATCCCCCCCCAGCCCTGCTGACCCTCCACCTCCTGCCTGCGCTTCCCACTCCACTTATTCCACCTGTGGGGTCCTGTAAGCGCCGACTGAACCCCCCCAGAACAACAAACACCCACCCCCAGGGGGTCACAGAGTGCTTCTGTTTGACACCTTCGGCTTAAACAAGAAACAAACCCTGAGAGACTTCACACAAACCATCCAGACACCTTCCAGTGTCAGCAAACATCACTGCAGTTCCAGGGTGGTGAAGTTCCACCAGGCAGCTTTGGAGAGCAGACAAGCAGCTTATTCATAAATTTTTCAGCAGCTATCACTGGAATTAAAACCAGTGTGGAATAATTGCAGGGAGACATGAGAGCTTGTCTTCTCTTTTCTTTTTTCCTCCTGGATGGTGTGAAGCAGCAGTGCCACAGGAGATGGCTCTGACACCAGCAGGCATTTCAACTGCCTCAGTGTCTGTGGCATATTTAAAATATTATATGAGGCTGCTAATGCCTAACAGCCTGCAAAGGACATTTTTTCCCAGGGTTTTACAACTGTGGGTTGTAAATTAAAACCACTGCAGGAGCCAACATGCAATGAACACTTGCAGACATTTATATATCATGTGTAGTCATGGATGGGGCTGGGACTTGTTTCTCAGACATATCATGAGCAGGTAAATTCTTCACAGGAAGCAGAAAAATTGTCTCTTTTTTGGACACTCTCCCCATTACAGAACACAGGAGTCTGATAGTTAAATTCCTTTTGGCTGGTACTGCTTTGCCTCTATAAGTTTTAAACCCCTGAAAGAACATAAAGTTAAAATTTTAATGGCATTTCAGCAGAACCTCTTTGAATTTTGTATTAGATCTCAATTTAGCCTCCAGTAAAGCCTTCAGAAAAAAAAAAAAATCCAATGCTTAAAAATGTAATAATCATACAGGAACCTTCCAAAGTCAGCATCAAATAGAATAAAATATATTTTATTAATGATACAATTCACAAAATTACTAGTCCTGCCACTCTCTGCCCACAAGAGAGACCTGCTGGGCTGTGTTACCCTGCACATCCATCAGCTGTGGTGTTTGTTCTGTGGGATTTAGCACGGGTTGCTTTGGGTGCTTAATGACCTGGGCTGGGCTGTGATGATTGCAGAGGAATTGGCCATTAGAAGGACGTTCCCGGCAGGAGGTTCCAGGGCAGAGGTGGTTCCTCGCCAGGGGAGGTTGGTCCAGGCTCAGCCAGATCCAAGGGGGACACGGATGGAGCAGTGGGGAGACCCCTGGTCCTGGTCCTGTGCCCAAGCAGAGCCCTCCTGCCCTGCGCTGCCCTGCCTGTCCCTGCCCTGTCCCTGTCCCTGCCCTGCCCTGCAGCACCAGCCCATGCCCTGACGTGGGAACACTCTAATAAAAGTATTTTACAACTGACTGATTCACCCAGTGGGTTTTTAGTGGTTTAGGGAAATGTGTAAAGCCATAAATGACTGCAGTGTAATATATAATCACTAATTAACACCCTCCTCCAGCTCGGATTCCTCTGGCAGGCAGCAGGAACGGGGAGCCCTGTGAGGACAGTTCCCACTGATGGTGGAGTGTTAAAGCCCTTTCATAAACATGTGTCAGAGAAAATGGCATCATACAGAGCGTGGCTGATTCTCCTTTACTGGCAAACAGCTCTTGGGTCACTAATTGGTGCCATCTGACCCCTGGCAGGGGCACCCAGCCTGCCCAGCTGGAGTGGGCTCCCAGTTGGATGCACCCCAGGTCCCACTCCACTGCAGCAGCACTGACTGGCTCCATACTGGACGCTGTCCACGCTGGGATTTATCATTTAATTAGAACCAGGAACACTGAGTAAATCCCAGATGCTTGGGGAGATGACTTGATTCTCAGTAAAACACTGGGAACTTATTGCTCAGGCACCATCTCCAGGCTCCTTCCCCAGCTCTGCTCTCCCAGCAGCAGACAGGCAGCTGATAATGAGGAGCAGAATCCATTGCAGAGGAAGCCCGAGGATGACACGAAGGGCAAAGGCATCAGAGAGCTTCCTCCAGCTTCAGGGCATGGGAAAGGGACGTTCTTTGCTGCAGGTCCCTGTGCCTGCATCTCCTCCTGCCTGGGGACGTGTGTGGGCACAGCTCGGGGACATGGGCAGGGCTGGGCACCAGAACACCTCAAATATTCACAGCACAGTCACCATTCCTCGTGTGAGTGAGAAATCAATGTGTCACTGCCCCAAAGAGGGGCCATCCACACAGTCACTGGTGGGCTCACATCAGAACCCTCGGAGATGTCCCTTCACTTCCATCCATTCTCCCTTTTACCCGGGGTGGAAAAGAGGGAAAAGCTGTGGGGGAGGTCTGAGAACTTCACTGATTCTCGTGTCTCCCCTGGAGACCCCAGTTAGGGCTTGTTCACTCAGAACTCCTGTCAAATTTAGGGCAGGGACAACCAACCCCCCCTCATTCCTCTGAGTTCCCAAGGGCAGAACTGGCCACTGCAGCCCGTGGAGAGCTGAGGAACAGAGCACTGCAGGAACCCAGAGCTTTAAAAATCATGGACACAATCGATTCTGCAACAGGACAAACTATCTGAGTTTTCCCCGAGCTTCACCCCCAAATCAGAACAACACAAAATTATCCCGGGGATGATTTTGTGACTGTTGCCCACCCTGGTTGTCACACACACACACACATTGTCTGGCTGTGATTAGGGCAAACAAACAAACAAAAAGTAATTAGAAAAGAGAGAGAGGCAGATTTGCAAACATTTACACATTGAATGTCAAGTCTGAAGGAATAAGGGAGGCTTTTCTTTCCCCCCTGAGCACTCACAAGGCAGCAATTACATGCAGTTGCAGTTTACAGTGTCTCTTCCACTGTCTGTTTTTTTCAGGCATCACTTTCTGGGGGTTTGTAAACAGTGCTACAAAAAAAAAATATTAAAAAAAAAATGAAGGCCCTATAAAGTATGAGAATAATTTATCATAGAAAATATGCAAAAAAAAAAAACAATGGAGAGAATTTGTTGTTCACTTAAAGCACAACTGCAACCAGGGCAGTGCAATATTTGTCCCTGCTCTCCACATCTCACAGCTGCAGGGTCCAGGGGCCAGTGGCAGGGTTTGGGAGTCTCATCTCATGGACCAGGATCAGGGGCTCTCCCAATAATACCCTTTGGGAGGGACCCCTGGAGGTCCTCTGGTCCAACCCCCGGCTCAAAGCAAGGCCAACACACCAGGCTCGTGCTCCTGGGTGTGAAAATGGGGTTGCTGGCATGGTTTGACCCCAAGATATGATAGTTTGGGGGAGCTTTGTGTGTCTCACTCCTGCAGACAAAGAAGAAATCAGTTTATTATCCAGAGGTTTGAGCCACTCTGCTGAGAACTGCAGGTACTGCAGGTGTGTGAGAAATAGTGAACAGTCTCCACTTCTGCCTCCAGCCAGGGGCCAGGAATAGAGGGGCAAGAAGAGGAATGGAA